ATATATAAAGTACGCAAGACAAAAACAACACATATCGGTAACTAGAAAAAGAAAAAAACTGACGTGGATCCGGAAAACTCCAACCAACAAAAATCTCAGGACAGACAATACAGGCATAAAAACACACTAAAATCGACAAAAACAACGCAAAAACAAGCATAAAGAACCCCCTCCCAAAAAACCCTCACACTAAAACCCCCACAAAAACAAGAAAATAAACAACTGGAAAAAACAAACATGCGTTAAGAAAAATCAAAACAACAAAAAAGGTCGCACACAACCCCCCCACAAAAGAAAAAAAAAAAGCGAAGAAACAAAACTTCACAGAACCCACAAAAAAATCGACATGCGAACAAAAACACTGAAAAAAGAAACAAATATATATAAAACAAGACAAAAACAACCTACAACTAGAAAATCTGACAAAAAAATAAGCATGCAAACAGAAAAATTCAACCAACAACAAAAAAACTCCACATTTTCTTGAAATAGAATGCCTTTTATTGACATGACTATTTTTTTTCCAGACGATACCTGGACGTTTGGCAGTCACAAATCCCTCCGTGTTTCTCCAGCGTGAGCAGAATCTCATCTTTACTGCCGTACTGAGCTGTGGACTACAAAGATGGCTGCCGTTAGATATAACGCCGACGGCCACAAGTAAACATTAATTACACCTCAAACCGCACCTTGATGAAGACACTTGATTGTTACTCAGACAGTATTTATTGAACGACACAAACCATCTGCGAGAATAACTCAAATTTGATCAACTTTGAGTTAAAAAAAAATTTGACATGATTGAGAAGCTTCATGTAAATTATTTCTCTCACAAGCAAAACAAATGTATATTTTTGAGCGAATGACTGTCTCATTTTTGTGTGACAAAACCGAAACTACGGCTTAAAAAAATCTCAGCCACAACTGAATCAACGTGGTTGATTTAAAAAAAGAAAAAAAAAGGAAAAAAAAAAACATTTGTTTTTCAATGTTATCGTTTCATTCATTAACATCCTGTACCAAAATGAAAGAAAAGTACTTACAGAAAAAGCAAGTTTTTCCAAGAAATGTGCTATTCCACTGGGATACTTTGCTTCATGTCTAGATCCGGAGTTGACTAAAACTAGAAAAAAAAAAAACATTTTGCTTTGTTAAAATGAGGGAGTGGTAAACACATGGCTGGCCTTCGAAAGGGGGCCACGTACTTCCAACGGTGCAGAATTGTCCAAACTTGTTTTGCGAGGCAACCTTGAGGCCATTTTCTAACGTGGTGATCCTGGTTTCGTACTTTTCCTGGCCGTCCACGGACGCAAAGACGGGCTTGGGGATGCCGGGCAGTGGCGAAGACAGTGAGATGTTGGGGTAGCCTCCACCGCTGCTGTACTTCCTGTACGCCGCTGTGCCAAACCTGTTGGGAAAGAGAAAGCAAACTCCTGACTTGATTCACATATTAATACAATTTTAATTTTCTCCGCAGGTTGTCATTCCCCTGTAAAACTTTTATTTCATGTGTCATTACACATTTTGATCACAAATTTCGCCGCTATTATTGCCTAAAATGCATTAAAACTACTTACGTCAATATTTACCACTTTGTTTAAATCGCATTTACGAAGGGGCTGTGCATCTGACGTTGAGCACTGTAGGTCAAGTTTCGCTCATTATAGGACGAGTACTGGATGCTCAGAACACATTTCTTTATTTAGCCACAGCAGGCTTGAATAGACAGTCAGCTATATCTACATGTTTATTATGTGTATTATTTTCAGTGAAAAACGTTCAAGAGCAATGTCGGTATGCCGGGGGGAGTCATAATTTAGAGGTACTGACAGCTCTGTATTAGCATCGTGCTAACTGTCGAAGCTCAAGCTGGGCGACGGTGAAAGTTACACAGCACGCACGTCAGACGACGACCGGACAACTGCTGCACAAATTGTCTAACTGTAATGCGGCCACGTTGAGTTGGTGTTTGGGGTTTTTAACAACGTAGGTCGTTACCGTTGAACACGATTCCAGGTTCGACACCGGGATATGTGAGCCGCCATCTTGACTTCGCCGAGAGACGTAACAGAACTCTAACCCGGAAAAGAATCAGTGACGTACTTTCGGTATAACGCCAACCTGGAAAAAATGGTATTAAAGTTGGAATTTATTTTCTTAATTTATGACGTTTCGAATTAGACATTAAATATTATCTTAAATCATAATATATATTTATTTATCATTGAATAACAATTTAATAAATCGTTTTAATGAACATATTTTTTTAATCAATGATTTCACTTGCCACTACAGTACCACCATGCCAACTCAAAAGAAGATGTTTTGATTATTATTAATTAGATATGTATCATTACTACTACTACTACGAAAAAAAATCATACATTTTAAAATGCACACAATTTCTGAAAACAAATATTGTATGCCTGAATGTCCCAATGATACATGTCCCAATGAGATCCAATTCAAAAGCTTCGTCAAAAAAAAAAGAAGAATTCAAGTTGATAATGCTTTTTCAACCATATGCTGACTGTTTGGGTTGCAGTTTCCTCACATTGTAGATGAATATAGTATGGAAGCCGCAGCTGCTTTGGTAACACTCACCGTTTGATGTCGTCCTCAACCCGAGAGAGCGTGTGACATTCTACCTTTGTCCGCTTTTAATTAAAATCAGTGCCGGGCCAGCATAGATTATAAATGGCTGCATTTGTACTTTCAATTTCCATTCCATTATGCTGAGCGGAGGCAATTTCCATTTGCAAGGCAGTGGGAGACAAGTGTGACAAGGGAAACACAGTTGTTCCTCCATATTTTTTTTTTTTTTTACTACCTTTGACATCTTATGCCAACTATAAAATTGATGAAGCTCATGAAGGCAGAAACAGATGAGTTGCAAGCTCAATTGGTATTCGTGTCCCTTGTGATTGGTACCAACATAAGGACCATTAACCCTCATTAAGCCTCCATCATTAACCTAATTTTTATAAGGAAGGCGAGCAAAGTGTACTTCAACTAATGAGCACCACTATCGATCGCAGTCTGCGGATTGATTGACAACTGGGAATAAAAAGCTTGGTCAACTGGGTACATAGCAGGATAGGTAGATAAGCAGGCAGGTCGATAAGGTGGGTAGATGGGGAGCTTGTCATATTTATGTTGGTAATTAGGTAGGTTGTAGTTAGATGGGAAGGTACCGCAGGTTGGTATCTAAGCAGGTAGGTTGGAAGGTAGAGTGATTAGTATTTTGGTAAGTGGGTATACGGGTGGGTAGGTAGGTAGGTATTGAGTAGATTGGTTGGGTAAGTGGCTTGGTCGGTAGTCACATATATAGCTAGAAGGGTAGGTAGTTATGTCATTACATGTCATAGTGCAGCTGAATGAAATTTTCAAATCGCTCAGGTTGCAATTTTGAATTAAAAAAAAAAACTAATTTCGGTCCATTGGTATATATACACATACAATTATTTCCCCCCATACATTTGATTAAGGTCCTCTAAACATTTGTACATTTTTAAAATGTACTTATTTTATAAACCTATTTTTATTTCCTAACCATTTTTTCCTCTGCTTAGCATCTGAATATCTATCGTTAAGTGTTGCGGTTGTAATGGCTTGTAAGTGTTGTGTCGTTGTTTGTGTGAAGCACATTGAGTTGCCTCGTGTATAAAAGGTGCTATATCAATAAAACTACCTTGCCCTGCCTTGAGCGGCCACTCGTATGTGTGTGTGTGCGTGTGTTTGGCAGCTGTTTATTGACGCCCTCTCGACTGACTGAGTGCATCAAGGGGACAGAGAGTCCACACACAGAGGGTCTACACAGCGGGTCTGCAAAGACCACACATGCAAAGACTTCAGTATTTGGTATGTATTCACCTGTCACTCTCCATGCATTTTTTGTCTACTGTGTGTGTCATGACCATGGTTGATACTGAGCAACGGGGGGGATGCTGCAGTCAATCCAGATAGTTAAGTGTTCAAGTGGAGGATTTCCAATTAGCAAGTGGAGATGTTATTGACATGCTAACAGGTGTAAATGACGTGTTCGGAGCTTTGTGAGTCATACAAACGGACACCCACGCGCGCTTGGCGTGAAGCTCGCAGCCACCGGGCGAGGTGACTCAAGACCAACAATGCTCTCTTGTCTTGCGTGAGTCAACCACTGCTGTGGCTGTCGTGATGTGTGCGGTCGCAAGACGTTGTGTTGTCTCGTGAGATTGACTTACGCTGTCACCCACACGTCCACCTCATCGTCTGTTCAGCTATCTACTCCATCCACGTGTCGGTGGTTCACTCGCTCGACTTGCTCACGCTTTTCACTCACTCGTGCTCCATCTTACCCATGCCTTCACCCAACACATCCGTTTTTCGAGCCTCACACCTCCACCATAACCCGGTCATCTTCCAATGCGGCGTCCCTCAGCTAGATCAAAACTGTGCCTTCTTCAGTGTCATGCTAATGGGGCATTACATAAGCCAAAAGCATGCTTGCCGGGTGCTCCGTCCCTTCCATGCGCACGACAGGAGCGCCATGAAAGCCTATAGGATCAGACGCCGGCGAAAGAGAAGATGTTGATGATGCCAGTACAAAGCTCGGCAGCCTCGTTTCATGTCATTTTCCATTGAGGGCATTGAGGGCACAGCGCACTCTATAAAGTGGCTTGCCTCATTCACCCGCCAAAGGGGACGAATGGGGAAAGCGGGGATGGGGCTTGAGAAAAACAGCAACAACAACACATGAATAAGTGGGAGTAGTTTTGTAGTTTATATCGAGACATTTTCGATCCAAAATGTGTTTTGGGGGCGTCATTCCTTCAGCAGATGAAAAAAAACTAATTACAGATCTGGAAAGTGTTCACCGAGGCCTTCGATATGATATACTGTATTAGACAATGAGGTCTGTTGGTTATTGACTTTTGACGTCACTCCAGTACCTGCTTTTCATCGTGGACGCAATGGCTGAAGCTGGGTGATGGTTTCTTGATGGCGGAGTTCTGCAGTAGGATGCGCGTCTGCCCTCCACAGATGATTCCGGGCCTCTGCTTCGCCATCCTGTTGAGTGTGACAGTCTCGTCCCAGCCGGGTAAGTCGACAGTGAACAGCGAAAGCCCAATAAAATGTGGTTCATTGTTGTGCCCGTCAATGTGTTTTGTAGGCTCTGTTTGCATGTGAGGCAGCTCTAAGTGTGTCATCGTAGCATTTGTTTGTAGGTTGAATTATTTGCGACATCATTGCTAATTTACGTTAGCCGGTCATGGCGTTTTGCAATGTATCTTAGCACTAAGCTAGATGACTTTCAATTGCCAACATGTACTGCTAACAGTGTTTTCAGCTCAAACCGAACAGAAGGTCTCTGTAATAATGGCATCTTAAGATGGCTGCCCTCTGTTAGTCAAGTGGGTGCTTGCTCCCGAGTGAAAAAACTGCCATAGACATGATTCAGTAGATACAACAGGCTCCTTTGAACTGCATCCATACAGCGATGCTAAGCTATTAGCTTCATCATAGACATTAGCTTAAAGCTAATGTCCCTTTTCTTGCTGGCTCTCGACGAAGGCGGACGCTTTTCTGCTCAGCTCCTTCCTACCCCACCCTCTCCTTGCTCGCCACTTAGTCTACGTGCTGTCTGTGTCTAACTTTTCCTAGCCTCCTATCGTACTTTCACCCTCAGAATAAACCATGGAATTGGTTGGCTGGTCCCTCGATGCAATCGACAAAATTTTCTCGACGAGAAGAGCAGGCAGTGGGGAGCCTACTTGCCCCTCGGGGACATTTGCTGCCGGATACGCCCTTGATCCATGGAGCAAGTGGAGAATGGTGTGCCTGTCAATACTGTCCGTTGAGGATGTGAAGACATCTACATTATTGGCCTTCTGATAACAGGTATGCTGCTGTTTGGTGCTAGCAGTTTCCTGTTCTATCGCAAAATTCAACCGATGGGAGCAGCTTTATTGGAAGTGAAGAAGCTGCCGGTCATTCTGGATGGTCTGGCGCGAATGTCCAATACACAGACTCAAGCGGTGACTGAGCTCAACCGCAATATGGACGCGGTTTTGGGGTGTCTCCGCACGATTGGCGACAACATGGTGAAGTTGGAATTCTCGCTTCGGAAAGTAAATGAGGATTTGGCTGATCGGCGCCAGTGAAGGAATACAGCCACGAACTCAAGGCCACCTGAAATTGTTGGCGGCCGTCCCAAGACAAAACAACGCAATCTGGACCCTTTCCCCTGGAAAGTACGCATGGAAGCTAGTGCCCCCACCATCACCCCCACCCTCTCGGCCTCGAACTGATAAGCTGGGACTGTCTCCATCAGCAGACCTTGACGAAGCAGCTGCGGCCTGCCCTTATCATCAACGCCTTCATCGTTCCTCCTGGCTTTTCCCCGTGATGTGACTTGATCTGCTGTGCGCTAGATGGACTGGCAGCACGCCGGTTGGGCTGCGTCGCGCCCCCCCATCACGTTATGTCTTGTGACTTGTTGCAACTGTCATATGCTTGATGTGCAGGGAATTTTTTTCTCCTAGACTTAAATTATCCTCAGAAGAGGATAGTTCGCGCATGGTTTTTTTATCCCCTCCTTCCCTAGTGTTTACTTTTCTCATCTAAGATCTCGGGGCGCTGTACTTACGGCGATTACCGACAGGCCCTTCGCACTGTATCCCATGTTCGTCTTTGTTTTTCATGTTTCTTGTGCAAAGCGTGCCTGTTAAGTCCAATTACCCCATGGGGATGAATAAAGTTTTCTGAATCTGAATCTGAATCTGAATCTGAATCTGAATCTGAATGCTTTCTATTCCCTTTCATCGGTCAGTTGATAAGTGTGTGTGTGTGTGTGTGTGTGTGTGTGTGTGTGTGTGTGTGTGTGTGTGTGTGTGTGTGTGTGTGTGTGTTTGAATAAGTTTAATGTTTTTAATAATCCTGACCGTATCACCGATGACAAACGATAGTAGTACCATTATGCACGGACGTGACATGGTGCCTGTTGTTTGGTCAGGTTTAGAGGAGGTGTTCTTTGGTCCGCGGAATCAGACGGTCAAAGAAGGTGAGGGGGCCTCCTTCCGCTGCGTGTCCGGCGAAAGCTCGTCCCCCGCCGCCATCCTGTGGATCAAAGATGGCAGCGTGGTCACCACAGGGAGGCAAAGCCAGGTGCTGCACGCCTGAGTGCACGACAAGCAGGAAATCGATATCTACGAGGAAGCTGTCGGAATGAAACTCATTTGTGTTTTACCTCCATCTCATTCAGGGAGAATACGGAGGCGGGCGTCAGAAGAAGACGTCGGGAACGCTTCATCTGGTCAACGTGAGCGTGGAGGACAGTGGCGAGTACGTGTGCCAGACCGTCAACCCTTCGCTCAACATCAGCAGGACCAGCAGGCCGGCCAGGCTCACCGTGCTCGGTACTCAACATACTTTCATGTTTTCCTCCCCCGCACTGGTTTGGATGTGTGTATTCGGAAGATAAGATGTAGAAAAAAAAAATCATCATTTCATGTCAACACTGACTTAAAAGCTGAAGCCGAGCTTAAAACCTGACTTTGAAACCCTATTCCTTGTTTATAACTGGGCTGGAAACCCTCATTTGAATCTCTAACCCTCACTTGAATTCCATCTTGAGACCAAAATTTGAAACTGTACCGCATGTCTTGAAATCGAAACTTGAAACCCCAACCATGGGTTGAAACCCTGCTTTCAAATCCTGACACAGGCTTGAAACTTTATTTTGAAGCCACAACCATGTTTTGAAACACGAACCCTGTCTTGAAACCCTCATTTGAAACCCTAACCCCGACTTGACACCCTATCTTTAAACCATAACCCTTTTTTGGGCCCTAATTTGAGTCTCTAACTGAGCTTTGAAACCCTCATTTGCGACACAAATCGGGCTAGAAATCTTCAGTTGAGCCCCAAACTGAGGCTTGTAACTCTAATTTGAAACCCTAACCCTGGCTTGCCACCCTACTCTGAAACATTGACCCTACCTTGAAACCCGAGCCGAGGCTAGAACCCCTGATTTTAAATCCTACTTTGAAACTGTCACCCAAGGTGTGAAACCCTGGTTAGAAAGCCCAACCCTGGCTCGAAACCCTACTTTGAGGCCTTGTACGGAAGAGGAAGGGCTCTTTTATGATCGCAATTTGCTGGTCTAGCCGCCCCTTCGGTGACCGTGCGGCCCCCCGCTTTAACGGTGGCCCTGGGGGGCCGAGCGTCCCTGCACTGCGAGGCGTCGGGCGAGCCCCCGCCGTCCATCAGCTGGCTGAAGAGAGGACACTCAAAGCAGACCGGGGCCAAGATGACCTCGGGGTGAGTCGACACGCGGCGTCGGAAGAACGATGTGGAGCTTTGAATGGCGTTTTTCTCACTCAGAGCGAGGAACGCCACGCTCCGCATCGAGTCGGCTCGCAGCTACGATGAAGGCACATATGTGTGCGACGCCTCCAACGCGCTCGGTCGCAGCCGAGCCACGCTCACCCTCGTCGTTGCGGGTATGGCGCTCGTACTCTGCCTAGCAACAAGTGACACACTCGGCCGAGCGAATTTTAAACCCAGACAACCTGAGAGTTTCTTAAAATTTTAAATCAGGTCATCTTTTTCTCATTAAAATACAACTTTTGGGCTATATATTTAAATGCGGTATTTATTCGTACTAAAAACAACCCAAATACTATTTTATATTCTAAATATTATCATAGGACAATTACTATATTGATCTACGAATTGTAAATATTACACGACATACATTTTTTGAATTTACAATGGTTTCAATCATTATTATTTTAAAAAATATATTCATTATTACAACCTTCCCCCCGCCCCTGAAAATAATGCATCTTTTACATTATTATTAATACTGTACTAAAAATATGAGGAATTTTTTCCTCATAAAAACTGGAGTGATGAAATTAATTACAATCAATTGAAATCAAGTAATTCATTCTCATAAAACTCTTAAAAATGTTCAGAACTTTTTACCACAAAACTCCAACTACATTTTAAAAGTACTTATAACTTGATTGGGATTTGAAGCCTTACCTCTTTCATGATGACTTTCAGGCTCCTTGCCCCCATCTGTGTCTCCACAACTCCGGTCCACAAGCGTTCCTCCAGTGCAGCCTTTGGTGACTCAGGTGCATTCTCCAATGTTGCCGCCACCGCCGTACCCCAACCTCCCGATGGAGCTTCCTCAGCACCCCGAACCTCAAACGGATGCTCGCCCCACCACGCGGGCATCCACACGTCCGCCTCACACCACTGTGACCAAATCTTCTCTGGTCCGGCTCGAAAACTCTCTCCAAAGGCCTTCCAATCAGGCCCGTACTCCGACGGCGGAACCTGCCGAGGTCCGAGGGCTCGTTGATTCCGGTGGGCAAAACAGTAGCCGGCAGGATCAATCGGTGGCGTCGTCTAAGGAGGGAGATGAGGAGCAGAGGAACACGTCGCAGTCGCCTATGACCAGCAAAGACCCTCGGTAGGTGGACACAGATACCAAAAGGGATCATTTAGGGTGACAATGCACTGATAAGCCGTAATAAGCGTTTTTCCCACTTTTGCGTCACCTGCCGCACACGTCGCAGCCTTGCACTACTTTCCTCATTGACCCTCGCCTTCTCGTATGTCTTTCCAGCTCCAGGGTGACCCCGCAGTCGCCTTTGTGGCTGCCCGTCCTGGAGAAACACGACGTGCCCATTGTGGTGGGTGTGGGCGTGTCTCTGGCCTTCATCTTCATCACGGTGGCCTTCTACTCTATGGTTCAGAGGAACGAGCCAGCGCCCACCGGACGTGCAGGTCAGCAAGTGCAGAAATAAGGATAACTTCAAGGTTGGTTAAGGGAAGTAATTCAATGGGGTGGGTCCAGTTCTGGTACCTTTTAGTCTCACAAAAAGGTACAGTTACCAGGTTCACTCAGGAAAGTGTCCCCCAGTAGACAAGAAAAGAAGGCCACATTTGAAGACAATCCAAGGGTAACCGTAAACTATCGTACTTTTGTATAATCCAATAAATGACAAAAGAAGACCACTTTTGAAGGCCATCCCGGTATGACCAGAAAGCATAGCGGTAGTGTCCACTAATACATGAGAAAAGGCCATATTTGAAGACCCTCAGTGAAATCTCAAAAGAGGTTCCAAGCCAAGGATCGCAGTGATGTATCCTGGAAAAAAAAAAAAAAAAAAAAAGAAGAAGAAAGCCGTATTTGAAGGCACTCAGTGAGTGGCAATGACGGAGCCTATTGGTGTAAAGCAGAGGTCACCAACTCCGGTTTAAGTGGTTGGCAATGAAGGACAGCAGTGTGCTAAAGTATCCCCCCAAAATGTCAAAAGAAGGACGTATTTGAAGGTATTTTCAAGGGTGGCCATGAAGTCCTGGAATGGGTGCATCTCTTAAAAAAAAAAAATTAAAAAAAAAAACAAGAGCCAAAAAAAAGTCCACATTAGAATGACTTCTGCAGATTGCTATGAAAGGCACGAGGTCTTAGAGCACAGGTGTCAAAGTCCGGTCCTCGAGGGCCGGTGTCCTGCATGTTTTCCATCCCTCCCTGTTGCAGCACACCTGATCCAAATGACCAGTTCATCAGCAAGCTCTATCGGAGCCTGATAGTGATCCTGATCATTTGAATCAGGTGTGTTGCAGCAGGGAGGGATGGAAAACATGCAGGACACCGGCCCTCGAGGACCGGACTTCGACACCTGTGTCTTAGAGGATAAATCTCATAAAGAATTGTCCAGGGATGTCAAAAGAAGGTTGCATTTGGAGGCATTTCAATGGTAGCCATAATGCATTTTGCCACACACTTCAGCAGATAGCTCTGGAGGGTAGTAGAGCTTTAAAGTCTCCTGAAAAGTGGCAAAAGAAAGCAGCATTTGAGGACCTTTACAAGGTGGCCATGAAGGATAGCAGTACCCTATCCTTAAAAATAAATTTAAAAAGATGTTTGTAGTTGAAGTCTTTCAGTGGGTGGCTATTAGGGGAGTATTGTTGTGAAGTATCCAACAAGAACGTCAAAAGAAAGACGCATTTGAAGACATTCCAAATTTGCCCCCTGAATAGTACCAATGTTTCCTTGAAAAATACATTTGAAAAGAAGGCTGTATTATAAGACCAATGAACAGCAGGTGTGTGTTCAGTATACTCCTGTATGTGCGCATGGAAAACCAGAAAAACCAGAAAATGCCTCGTCTTGCAAGCTCCCGATTCCCGGCCTTCTCATTCAGGGCTGGTAGTTGTGAAGCAACATGCGTGCATTGCAGTCTTACTCAATGAAGATCGGCCTTTTGGCGCTTTGTAGCTTCTTCATCTCTCTGCGTGTTCAAAGCGCGCTTAGCGATCCTGAGACCGACTGCCAAAGCTGCCGACTGGCAGCCAAAGAGATTGAGACAAAGTTGCAAGCGACTCGTCCTCGAAAACACCGGGCGGCTCTCGACAAACTCATGCTTGACAACGAGGTGTGCAACATGCTGCCTCCTGGCGAGGGTTCCAAGCTAATCTCCGCCTGCGTAAAACTCTTTGATACCCACTACGAGGACTTCTACTTAGCTTTGTTGAGTCAAGGACCGCATTCGGTGGACAGCATCCTTTGCTACCAGAAGTCGACAGCATGTGTGGGGGTGAAAGAAGAGGACGAGGAGGAAGAACAAGAGTCTTCTCGGGATACCGAAAGCAAATTTGTGGATGAGCACACAGAGGCTTCTCACGGGGACAACAAGGAAGAGATTCACATTGCTCAGCATTCCCAGACTGCACCAAAAGATGAGTTTTGATAAATGGAGAAGCATTGTTGAACCACTGATCATCCATACATTAAAAGTTTTATGACTACTTAATTGATTAGATGACTCATTATTATATTTTTGGTCACGATTTTGGTGGAGGAATCTGTGCATATAAAAGAAAAGAAAAAGGTGAGCAGGCCATTTGTTGCGACACTGAAGAATTGTAGCAGTCAATCCTTAAACAACAAAAGAATGCTGCATTTGAAGGCGTTCCAAATGTGGCCATTTATGAAAGCAGGAGCATGAAGTAGTAGTAGCAGTGTATTATTTTTAAAATAAGTGACACAAAAAAAAAAAACCCTTGTAATCAAAGGGTATTAAGGACAGTCATAGTAAAAATTATTGGAATCCGATTTATATTGGTGTTCGATAGGTGGCGATGAAGGGATGAAAATGCACAAAAAAGGCTGCATTTTAAGGCATTCTAAGGGTAGCCAGTAAGGATGGTAGTGGGGTAGCATTGACAAAATAAATCACAAAGGAAGTCAGATTTGAAAGCCTTTAGTTGGATGGCTATGAAGAGCAGTAACGGAGCAAAGTATCCTGCCAAAAAGAAGGCTGAATCTGAAGGCCTTTCAAGGGTGAGTATGCAGTATTTTTGGTGAAGTATCAAAGGAAACAACAATAGAAACCATGTATGAAGGCCTGCTGTGTGTGGCTATGAAGAATACTGGCATGGATTCCTCCCCAAAAAGAGCAAAGAAGGCCACATTTGAAGGAATTTCAAGGTTGACTATGAAGTACACTAGTGAAGACGTAAAAGAAACAACAAAAGAAGCCATATATGAAGACCTTCCAAGGATAGCCGTGAAAAATACCGGCATTGAATCCTCCCCAAAAAGAGAAAAGAAAGCCACATTTGATGGCCTTCCAACGATGGCCGTGAAGGATGGTGGTATTGTACCCTTAAGATAATAAAAACAAAAGTTCGTATTCTACGGCTCGTGATGGGTGGCTATGAAGGATAGTACTGGTGTGAAGTATCCTGCAAAAACAATGTCAAAAGAAGGCTGCATTTGAAGGCATCCATTGGGTGACTATGAAGTAGCTGTGTATTATTTAAAAGAGGAAGCGACATAAGAAGGCCGCATTTGAAGGCCTTCCAAGGGTGGCCTATATAATGTGTCCTTGGGAGGCGGCACGGTGCGGTCGAATGTTTAGCATGTCTGCCTCACAGTGCAGCGGTCTGGGGTTTGATTCCGACTCAGACCTTCTTGTGTGGGGTTTACAGGTCGTCCAATAAACGCACAGCAGGTTGATTGGACATTCGAAATTGTCCCTCCGTGCGATTGTGAGTGTGAGTTGTTGTTTGTCTGTGTGTAGCCCTGCGATTGGCTGGCAACCAGTTCAGGGTATACTATCGCGCCTTACTGTCCAAAGCCAGCTGGGATAGGCTCAAGCACGCACGTGACCCTCGTGATGATAAAGCGGATTGCAAAATGGATGGATGGACGTGTACTTTGAATGGGAACAGTCTGCAAGGGTTAATTAACATCACGGAGCAGTATGCGAGGAACGGTTGCGGGACAACCAGAAAAACCAGAAAAATCTGTTGTCATGTCAGTTGTGGATTCCCCGCATTGACATTCAGAGCTGCCCCGTTGTCAGCCAGCATGGTTGTTTTGCAGTCTCGTAACATGGCCGTGCTCCTTTTGGCGCTGTGCAGCTGCCTGGTCTTCCTGCAAGTACAGGCCGAAGACATCGATCCCGTGATCTACTGCCACAGTTGCGTCCTGGTGGCCAAGGAGTTTCAGAAAGTGATGGAAGAGCCCTCGACCCGACGACGCCGGCTCGCTATCGACGACCTCATCATCGACACGGACGTGTGCAAAAGACTAGAAGGCAACAAGACTTTCCCCAAGGCCCAGCTGAAGGCCGCTTGTGAGAATCTCTTTGAGTCCCACTACGATGACTTCTACGCCGCTTTCATATCAGGCGAAAGGGACAGAATGGACGCCCTTCTTTGCCACGAGAAATCCAAGGCGTGTGTGGGGTTGACAGAACCGGAGGAGGACAAAGGAAAAGAGCCTTTGCGGAACGTCGCATGGAAGCCGAAGCCAAAAGCAGCTAAGACTTTGGGCAAGGCCAAAATTGAAAAAAAAAATGGAAAGCTGAAGAAAGATGAATTGTGACAACAGGAGAATCTTTGTTGAACCACTGATCAGCATGACATTAAATTTTGTTGCTACAACTTCATTGATTGCAGCACTCATTCTTTTGCATTCTGGACATGAAGGAAAGGAGTAGTGTATCCTTAACGTTGAAAAAATGATGTCTTGTAAATTTGACACACCACAGAGAAGCGTTGTTCCAAATTCGAATGATTGAAAAAAAAATCACCATGTGTGCAAATTGAGGCTTCGCAATCATAAAAAGAGAAATATTGTTTGCACTCAGATGCTATGGGTGTGTCCACTGAAACTACGTCCGGGTCAAATGTCAACTGTCAATCAAATATCTTTACTACGATCTGAACACACGGAAGCTAACTTTGTCTGGCAATCTACCGTATAAAGGACAACAATAAAATACAAGTAGAGCCGTTTAAAACCTTCGCTGGCTGGAATATATCCCACCGAGTTGTTGTAGGGCTTCTCAACGCTGCAACAACCAGGCGCTCTAAAGCGGCCAGGTCAGCCCCAAGCCCCTCAGGGTACTTCCACCTTTTTCTCATGGTGCCATGCACGCATTCACGGAAAACATTGAGGCGCTCTAAAGCCGCTAGAAATAGATGCAGAGCTCTGGTCCACACGCTGGCTGCCAAGTCAGACTTTCCCCTCCCTTTCATTTCATTTCCTTTTACTTCCTGGTGCTTTCCACTCTCATTTCTGGTGAACGCTGGCTTCTTTCTCATTGGCCTTCAAGTGCAGCCTGCCAAGGACAGGTTATGGACAACAACTGTACACACTTTTGCTGTTTAGTTAAGAACAAAATGCTTCCTGTTCTTCACAGCTACACACAGGAGGCTTCCGATAAATGAAAATAGAAGGCCACTACTGACTTTTGAAGCCAACACCGCCACTACAGTATCTTACATGCCACTTTTGGAATGCCTTCAAAAGCAGGCTTCTTTTCTCATTTATTGTAGGACGCACTGTTACTGTTTTGAATGGCTCCGCATGGATGGCCGATAAATATGTCCTTTTTGTTCCTACTTTCTGCCTCAGACGGAAGGCCTTCAAATGTGGCCTTCCACTATCATTCAATTCAGTCCTATTTATGGGAATGGCACACCCCGTACTATCCTAATTGACCACCCATGGAAGGCTTTCAAATGCAGCCTTAATTTTCTAATCTACTGGAGTACTATGGAAGGCTTTCAAATGCAGCCTTAATTTTCTAATATTACCTATGAGTACATAGGTAATATTCTTCCCAGTCATACATGGAAGGCCTTCTGGTGCGGCCTTCTTTTCTCTCTACTACTATCCTTCAAAAGACAAGTAGGCAGCATCTGAAGGCTTACCTGTAGCACCTATGACTTTCTTCAAATGCAGCACTTCAAGGACATAGCACACACTTTCCTGTTCTCTTCGACAGCCAAGAGGAACCTCGGCGTCCCCATGCGTCACGCGGAGCGCCACCACGCAGGGCCACCGTACGAAAACCGGTGTGTAGGAAAACATTCATTCCCAAAGTCCCCAAACGTGCGTGCTCACCTCGCATTCCGTATGGCGTATGCAGGGCCTTCGAAGACGACGAGTGCTTGGCGGTGACGGAACACAACACCAACACGTCAGACACCGGCGCTAGACCTCCAGGCCTGAGTCTGGTCACGGTGCAGACGGAACCCACGTGTGAGGACCCCCGCTCCGTCACGGTGGAGACCTACCCCGAGCCCGTTGTGGACACCAAGGTACAACATAGGTGGAAAAAGTACTTACACTTTATAGTTCAGGAGAACCAGGGGTGGGGTGGCCATCGGGAATTTTGGCAAAATATGTTCATTTTCCCGAAGAGCCAGTGTATTTCCGTGCCGGTCCTGGGCATTGACCGTCACTTGACTCAGTTTGACCTAAAAAATTTGACACTAACACAAACAACACAGGAACCGGAGTTAAGATACTAGCCAAATTACACAATAAATGCTTTATTTGACTCAACAATTTTTTTTTACGCTCAGAAAAATGGATCCAACTCAAACAATCGATGAATTGGGTTGATGAAATATAGATACTCTTTACCGTGCCAAGGAACTTTGTTGAAGTGAGTTGAGGGGCTTCACTGAGACAAACCGCGTACTTTGCTACCATCTAAATGTTTTTATTGGACTTTTGAAATCATTACATTTTTTTGCACTCATTCTGCAAATTAATAGCGCTGCATCTTTTGAGTGTACAGGTCTTGACCACTAGAGAGCAGTATAATACCTGCAGTACATACACACAATCCAGAGTTGGCTTCCCTCCCCCCAAAATCGACTTGACACAGATTTGATTGGCAGACCCTGAGCATTTTATGCAAAAGGAGTGCTTGCAAAATGTCCCTTCCCACCAATGGTTGTAACTCACCCGTCCCCGAGGGCAACCATACGCACTAAGAGTTTTGCCCACGTCCTAGATTGACTACAGTGAGGAGGAGGAGATGAAGGACGAAGAGAAGGGCCACGGTCCTCCCAGCACTCCCAATACTCCCAGCTTGCAGTTGACAGAAGAGGAGTGGCCCAGCATAACGGCAGATAACCGAAGCCTGTGCCAGGACACCGGACTTTCTTTTTAACCGGGTGCCCGCCGCCGCCGCGACGGGCATGAGCGTTGCCACGTCTACGTTAGATAACAAGCAGGAGAATGACAAGGCCAGACTCCATCAGAGCAAATGAATTCAATAATAGAGTCATTCAGGATACCTAAAGCAGGGCTTCTCAAACCTTTTGTGACATTTTTCCAAGGACGCCATCGTAATCTTAATCAATAAAAAATGTGTTGATCCATTCATGGCTGAACCAACACTCTAAAAACAGTCAGATGAAAAAAATCCCCCAATTATGGTTCAAAAAGGGGCTGAGCCCACTTTGGTCAATTTCAACCAACTTTTGGGGTTTAAACCCAAAAATTTGGGTCAAATAAATAACCCACAAAACACCCCCAACCATTTTTTGTTTGTTTTGGTGAGCAATGGCTCGATATCCACTGGTCTCTTTTTTTTTTTTTTTTTTTGGCATAACAATGAACACAAACAAGCCAAAGACATTGGATTTGTGTGTGGGTGTTTGTACCTTTTTTAAAACGTCAATTTCATTGGTTTCACTGTTGTGAAAACCACATGACAAAGATCAAAGCACATCCGATTAAATTACTCTGATAATATTAAAAAAATATTTTAAAGAGCATTTTATGGCATTACTAAAGTATACAGAAAATGAGAGATTTTTTTTTTTGTCAGTATATGTCAATAAAAGTCTTAGCATCTGATTGATAACTAAAAACAGTCAGATGAAAAAAATCCCCCAATTATGGTTCAAAAAGGGGCCGAGCCCACTTTGGTCAATTTCAACCAACTTTTGGGGTTTAAACCCAAAAATTTGGGTCAAATAAATAACCCACAAAACACCGCCCAACCATTTTATTGTTTGTTTTTGTTAGTAATTGCTCCATGTGTATTTACTCTTTAGCAACTCAGCCAAGGATTTTTTTTTTGTTATTACAAATGTTATGCCGGTAGCATTATGGTTCGTTTCATTTCAGTGTCACATACAAAACAGACTGTTATCTATGAACACAAACAAGCCAAAGACATTGGATTTGTGTGTGGGTGTTTGTACCTTTTATTAAAATGTCAATTTCATTGGTTTTACTGTTGTGAAAACCACATCACAAAGATCAAAGCACATCCGATTAAATTACTCTAATAATATTAAAAAATATATTTTAAAGAGCATTTTATGGCATGACTAAAGTATGAAGAAAATGAGAGAATTTTTTTGTCAGGATATGTAAATAAAAGTCTTAGCATCTGATTGATAATGCCTTGGTTGCATTTTCCGTAACATCCCATTTCGTCATCTTTGTTGTAATTACTGTGTATTGTTTTACATTACATGATAATATTGATTTCTTTGAGTTAGTAATTGATGTAAATGAAGATTGAAATGTGCCGTGTGTATTTACTCTTTAGCAACTCAGCCAAGGATTTATTTTGTTATTACAAATGTTATGCCGGTAACATTACGGTTTGTTTCATTTCAGTGTCACATACAAAATGGACTGTTATCTTTTTTAAAAGACCAAAGGGGGCGACAAGGGGCTACAACCATGCTTGTGTCATATGTGCCGTTTATTATGTCTGATTTTTGTCAGTGAGTGTACAGTATATTTGAAGACAGGATGGAAGGACGTGCAATATTCTTCTGCTTTGCATTTATTCCAAGACACATTGTATTTGGACAAAACAAAAATAAAGATTAAAACAACTTGGACCTGGACTTTTTGTGGGCCTACTTTTGACAGACATGCCTAATACATTTCAAGTTGCTCAGAGAAACTATGGTTGTCATGGTGGCACTATCGAGCCAAATCTTGAGGGATCCTTACAAGAACAAACCAAAATGGCTGCCGTCCTGTGTCTTTGGGTTCTTGAGAATTGAGACATTTTTGGTTTTGTCATAGTTAGACAGGCTGACTTAATTTCATGTTGCTGTGTGAAATCATTTTTGGCTGCAAAGTTTGCCAATATTCTGGGGAGTCTGCTGGGCCAAATTTTGGGGAATCATTTTGAACAGAAATAACTGTGACTCCCTGTATCTTTCCAGAAATGGGTTCCTGTGAATTTTTTGTGGGTCTATATGATAATATTGATTTCTTTGAGTTAGTAATTGATGTCAATGAAAATTGAAATGTGCCGTGTGTATTTACTCTTTAGCAACTCAGCCAAGGATTTATTTTGTTATTACAAATGTTATGCCGGTAACATTACGGTTTGTTTCATTTCAGTGTCACATACAAAATGGACTGTTATCTTTTTTAAAAGACCAAAGGGGGCGACAAGGGGCTACAACCATGCTTGTGTCATATGTGCCGTTCATTATGCTGTCTGATTTTTGTCAGTGAGTGTACAGTATATTTGAAGACAGGATGGAAGGACGTGCAATATTCTTCTGCTTTGCATTTATTCCAAGACACATTGTATTTGGACAAAACAAAAATAAAGATTAAAACAACTTGGACCTGGACTTTTTGTGGGTCTACTTTTGATAGACATGCCTAATACATTTCAAGTTGCTCAGAGAAACTATGGTTGTCATGGTGGCACTATCGAGCCAAATCTTGAGGGATCCTTACAAGAACAACCCAAAATGGCTGCCGTCCTGTGGCTTTGGGTTGTTGAGACATTTTTGGTTTTGTCATAGTTAAACAGGCTGACTTAATTTCATGTTGCTGTGTGAAACCATTTTTGGCTGCAAAGTTTTGCCAATATTCCGGGGAGTCTGCTGGGCCAAATGTTGGGGAATCACTTTGAACAGAAATAACTGTGACTCCCTGTATTTTTCCAGAAATGGGAATTTTTTGTGGGTCTATTCATGACAGACTTGCATATTAAATCTCATGTTGCAAAGTGAAATGCTTTCGTGGGGTGAATTAAAAAAAAAAAAAATAATCTTGGACCTGGACTTTTTGTGGGTCTACTTTTGATAGACATGCCTAATACATTTCAAGTTGCTCAGAGAAACTATGGTTGTCATGGTGGCACTATCGAGCCAAATCTTGAGGGATCCTTACAAGAACAAACCAAAATGGCTGCCGTCCTGTGTCTTTGGGTTGTTGAGACATTTTTGGTTTTGTCATAGTTAAACAGGCTGACTTAATTTCATGTTGCTGTGTGAAACCATTTTTGGCTGCAAAGTTTTGCCAATATTCCGGGGAGTCTGCTGGGCCAAATGTTGGGGAATCACTTTGAACAGAAATAACTGTGACTCCCTGTATTTTTCCAGAAATGGGAATTTTTTGTGGGTCTACTCATGACAGACTTGCATATTAAATCTCATGTTGCAAAGTGAAATGCTTTCGTGGGGTGAATTAAAAAAAAAATACTGCCAGGGAAGTGCTACCAAGCCAATTTTTAGGGCTCTTTTATGGATGATGTCTCCTACTTAGATGAGTTAAAGCTCCTCAGCTTTCTTGATCTCGGTCTCCTTCTGATGGAGAGGAACTTGGAAGCTGACGTAAGGACACCACTTGGTGTTGAGGCACACCAATTTCTCCAGGGTGGAGGTTTTGACCAAATCGAAGCCCACCTCCCCCCCGAAGGTGCTCGGCTTCCAGTACTCGGGTGAGCACAAAGGGTTGCCCAGCAAGCCCTTCAGCGAGAAGGGGGCGCCCATTTCTACCATGCTTTCTCCAAAGATGGACCCAGGACGCGGCTTTTCCAGAAGGATACCCGGATAGAATTCCAAGGCGTCGATGTGGCCGTAGTACTCCAGCAAACCGGCTGCCATGTCCTCATCATCTACTTGGGAAAAATATTCTAAGTCGAATACAGTTCACACTCACATTAACCTTGTGTAGCATGGAGCATATGTCTTTTGTTAGCCTATAGTTCCTGTTTAACCAGCTGCTAAGTCATGTAAAATGGGCCAGAGACACACTGGTTTTATGGCTGCAACAAGAAAGTTCAATGATATCATCGACAGGTAACATTATTTAGATTAAACAACAGCAATATCTGTGAATAACTGGTTATTAACAGTTATCTTAGCTTAACACAAAGACTACAAACAGTATGACTCTACCTTGATTTTGTACAGTAGATTACATCATCACCCGAGTAAACCCGGCAACAGACAGCTAGCAAAGCTTAATTTAAATACTTAGAAACACCTATCTTAGCTTAGCATCAAGACAAGAAATAGCTTGGATAAAGCTTCCACTTATTACACAATAAATGACACCATCATCATCCATGCGTATTTGGCTTGGAACGGTAAACTTATCTTGGCATAAAGAATAGAAACAGCAAGTATGAATCCACCTACTTGTCCTACAATGAACTACAACGTCTGTGAATATTAGGTTGTTGACAGTTAGCTTAGCATAAAAACTACAAACAGCTAGCATGACTGTTTGTACTTTTCATTTCGTATGTGACAAAAATATCTGGAAATTGTCAGCACAGTAGAGATACTGACAACATCTGGCATGCACAGCCTTGTAAAATCCTCCATTTTCTTCTTGCGTGTACCTGTAAATTCTCTGAATGAGGTGTAGGGTCTCAAGTTGAACTTCTTCCTATATTCGTTGAAGGGCTGCATACGAGTTTCTCTGGATTCTCGCATAACCATTTCGGACACTTTGAGCACCACTTCATGAGAGTTTCGACCTCCGCATACCTGGAAAAAAAAAAACAGAGGGACATGTTATGAAAGCTAAAACGTGCCGGCAAGCAGTCCTCTCTTCGCTCTGAATGAGGTGTAGGGTCTCAAGTTGAACTTCTTCCTATATTCGTTGAAGGGCTGCATACGAGTTTCTCTGGATTGTCGGATAACCATTTCGGACACTTCGAGCACCACTTCATGAGAGTTTCGACCTCCGCACACCTGGAAAAAAAAAAAACAAAACAGCGGGACATGTTATGAAAGCTAAACAGTGCCGGTAAGCATTCCTCTCTTCGTCTTCTTCTACCTGTCCGGCAGGTTGCCGCGAAAATGCATCCACCAGCTTTTCTACGCCGTAGTGCAAAAGCAGCGAGGTGTTGAAGGAGAAACGCGAGTGAGGAATGTCATCGCCATCCACATGGAAGCTGTCCGGCATCAAAGGGTGCCAGTGGTACAGGTGGCAGAACTCGAGGGCGATACGATTGCTGTACTGGAAGCGCTGGCCGAAGAGCAGTGAGGGATCAAACTTGAATTTGAACAGGTAGCCGCTCAGGTGCTGCACGTACTCTTCCGTGATAATCTTGATGATCTCACCTGCAAAGGTCAAGAAAATAAGATACACAGTGCAGAGGCCCGGGTTCCGGTTGCAGGCTCCACCCTTCCTGTGCGGAGTTTGCCTGTGTCTGCGTGGGTTTTTTCCGGGTATTCCGGTTTCCTCCCACATTCCAAAAACATGCATGGTACGTTAACTGAGCACTCTAAATTGTCCCGAGATGGGATTATGAGCGTGAATGGTTGTTGTGTACCGTGCGATTGGCTGACAACCAGTTCAGGGTGTTCCCAGCCTATCGCCTGGAGGACCTCATCTTGAAAAGAACACAATCCATCCATTTCCTAGATAGCTAATCTTGTTCAGGGTCATGGTAACTGGCTGACTATACCCTGGACTGGCTGCCAGTCAATCACAGGGCACATGGAGAGACAGACAACCATTCACACTCACATTCACCCCATCTTCACCGAGCGGGAACTGACTTTTTGTGGGTCTACTTTTGATAGACATGCCTAATACATTTCAAGTTGCTCAGAGAAACTATGGTTGTCATGGTGGCACTATCGAGCCAAATCTTGAGGGATCCTTACAAGAACAAACCAAAATGGCTGCCGTCCTGTGTCTTTGGGTTGTTGAGACATTTTTGGTTTTGTCATAGTTAAACAGGCTGACTTAATTTCATGTTGCTGTGTGAAACCATTTTTGGCTGCAAAGTTTTGCCAATATTCCGGGGAGTCTGCTGGGCCAAATGTTGGGGAATCACTTTGAACAGAAATAACTGTGACTCCCTGTATTTTTCCAGAAATGGGAATTTTTTGTGGGTCTACTCATGACAGACTTGCATATTAAATCTCATGTTGCAAAGTGAAATGCTTTCGTGGGGTGAATTAAAAAAAAAATACTGCCAGGGAAGTGCTACCAAGCCAATTTTTAGGGCTCTTTTATGGATGATGTCTCCTACTTAGATGAGTTAAAGCTCCTCAGCTTTCTTGATCTTGGTCTCCTTCTGATGGAGGGGAACTTGGAAGCTGACGTAAGGACACCACTTGGTGTTGAGGCACACCAATTTCTCCAGGGTGGAGGTTTTGACCAAATCGAAGCCCACCTCCCCCCCGAAGGTGCTCGGCTTCCAGTACTCGGGTGAGCACAAAGGGTTGCCCAGCAAGCCCTTCAGCGAGAAGGGGGCGCCCATTTCTACCATGCTTTCTCCAAAGATGGACCCAGGACGCGGCTTTTCCAGAAGGATACCCGGATAGAATTCCAAGGCGTCGATGTGGCCGTAGTACTCCAGCAAACCGGCTGCCATGTCCTCATCATCTACTTGGGAAAAATATTCTAAGTCGAATACAGTTCACACTCACATTAACCTTGTGTAGCATGTAGCATATGTCTTTTGTTAGCCTATACTTCCTGTTTAACCAGCTGCTAAGTCATGTAAAATGGGCCAGAGACACACTGGTTTTATGGCTGCAACAAGAAAGTTCAATGATATCATCGACAGGTAACATTATTTAGATTAAACAACAACAATATCTGTGAATAACTGGTTATTAACAGTTAGCTTAGTTTAACACAAAGACTACAAACAGTATGACTCTACCTTGATTTTGTACAGTAGATTACATCATCACCCGAGTAAACCCGGCAACAGACAGCTAGCAAAGCTTAATTTAAATACTTAGAAACACCTATCTTAGCTTAGCATCAAGACAAGAAATAGCTTGGATAAAGCTTCCACTTATTACGCAATAAATGACACCATCATCATCCATGCGTATTTGGCTTGGAACGGTAAACTTATCTTGGCATAAAGAATAGAAACAGCAAGTATGAATCCACCTACTTGTCCTACAATGAACTACAACGTCTGTGAATATTAGGTTGTTGACAGTTAGCTTAGCATAAAAACTACAAACAGCTAGCATGACTCTTTGTACTTTTCATTTCGTATGTGACAAAAATATCTGGAAATTGTCAGCACAGTAGAGATACTGACAACATCTGGCATGCACAGCCTTGTAAAATCCTCCATTTTCTTCTTGCGTGTACCTGTAAATTCTCTGAATGAGGTGTAGGGTCTCAAGTTGAACTTCTTCCTATATTCGTTGAAGGGCTGCATACGAGTTTCTCTGGATTCTCGCATAACCATTTCGGACACTTTGAGCACCACTTCATGAGAGTTTCGACCTCCGCATACCTGGAAAAAAAAAAACAGAGGGACATGTTATGAAAGCTAAAACGTGCCGGCAAGCAGTCCTCTCTTCGCCTTCTTCTACCTGTCCGGCAGGTTGCCGCGAAAATGCATCCACCAGCTTTTCTACACCGTAGTGCAAAAGCAGCGAGGTGTTGAAGGAGAAACGCGCGTGCGGAATGTCATCGCCATCCACATGGAAGCTGTCCGGCATCAAAGGGTGCCAGTGGTACAGGTGGCAGAACTCGAGGGCGATACGATTGCTGTACTGGAAGCGCTGGCCGAAGAGCAGTGAGGGATCAAACTTGAATTTGAACAGGTAGCCGCTCAGGTGCTGCACGTACTCTTCCGTGATAATCTTGATGATCTCACCTGCAGAGGTCAAGAAAATAAGATACACAGTGCAGAGGTCCGGGTTCCGGTTGCAGGCTCCACCCTTCCTGTGCGGAGTTTGCCTGTGTCTGCATGGGTTTTTTCTGGGTGCTCCGGTTTCCTCCCACATTTCAAAAACATGGATGGTACGTTAACTGAACACTCTATATTGTCCCTAGATGTGATTATGAGCGTGAATGGTTGTTGTATACCCTGCGATTGGCTGACAACCAGTTCAGGGTGTTCCCCGCCTATCGCCTGAAGACAGCTAGGATGGGCCTCAGCATGCCCGCCACCCTCGTGAGGATAAGTGGCCCGGATAACAGATGGATGGATGGATGGATGTTAGGGTGTCGGGTCTCTGACTTTCTCTCGAATGACAAAGTTTCTCATCCTACTCCAAAGGATGACCTTGGATGGCACATTATGAAAATTATTCACTTTTATCCGTAACCATGTCCTTTTGGTGCCAAGCCACAATTGTCCGTAGACCCTGTATGAGTCTCGCACCTCCAGAGAATCCCACAAACGGCAGGACCAAATGTCTTTCCAAACCACCGGTTAAGCAATCGCCAATGGCTCAAGCGAGGACATGACCAGGACGGAAACCCACATTTCGCCTCCTGGATCGTCTCCACTAACAGCCGGACTGTCCTCCCAGGTACTTGAGGGAATAGGCTGAAGAATCAGATCCCCCACCCGCAGCCCCCGGAATTAGAACACAACTTCCAGGACCTCGTCTTGAAAAGAACACAATCCATCCATTTCTGAAAGAGCTAATCTTGTTCAAGGTCATGGGAACTGGCTGACTACACCCTGGACTGGCCGCCAGTCAATCACAGGGCACATGGAGAGACAGACAACCATTCACACTCACATTCACCCCATCTTCACCGAGCGGGAACTGGTCCTCAGTGAAGGCCTTTGGAGTTTCAGTAAGTGTCACGTTACCGATGACAATGAGCCTGGCGGTCTGGAAGAGCTGCTCGTCATCCCAGCTGGGATGCTCCGACTTAAGGACGTCACACACTCGGTTGTGCTCCCTCAACCACAAGGTGGCATACAAGGTCAGGCCTGGCAGCATTCCGAACAGCTCATGACCGACAGCCAATCTCTGCTCGGAGGGAAAGCCCGCCGGGTACACCATGTGAACGGGTGCCTGGGACACCGTCGGGGGATACACCTCACCATTCACGAGCTGGGGATAGGCCAAATACAGTAAAAGACCACAAATTTTGTGAAAACCTTCATATTAATCTACCATATAACCTACTAAAAAGAGATTTGCTCATATGGGACCTAAAATTGTGTTTGCAGGTGGCCACATGAAGCACAGAGTAACCTGACCCGGATACTGAGTAGGGACTACCCACTGCTAACTGTAGGGGCTAGTTATGCTAGCATAACAATCAGAAACTCAGAGAAACTGCACGTTTCCTATAATAACGATCATTTCAACAGGATATTACATCCTCTGCGTTATACAGGGATTCCCCCAAATTTGAACTGAGTTGCCATGTATAACAATTAAAAAGTTATTGAATTTGTCTCTTTGATGTTAAGTCAAAACATGACACACATTCCCAAACTGTGTCCCGGTAACAGACCAAATCAAACATATTGGTTTTAAGCTGTAAAAGTTTCGAAACTCCTGCTCTACCTTGTCCCACAAAATTTTTCTTGTTTACCTGATATTTCATCTTTCCGTCCTTATGAAGACGAAGTTGCAACTGCCGTGTGAGCGTATTGCCATAGATGTTGCTTGCATCGACCTGCAAAACAAACAAATAAGCCAACAAAAAAAAAAAAATAGCAACTTTCCTCCGGAATTGAAGGCAAAGTGACTGGTTGAAGTCAGTCTAGTTGCCTTTGATTCAAAGTTTGGAGACGACCAGAACCTGAGTGACAATCTACACAGATGATAAATTTCTTTTCCTAAAAAAAAAGTCTAATTGAAGGCGACAGGCTTGAATTTGATAAAGTCAAAATGCCTTCAACGTAGACAACCATGACCTGGATGTTCTACTCTGATGTCAATTTTCCTGTCCATGAAAGTTGAATTTAGGACAGCCAGACTTGATTGAATCCTGGCCTGCGGTTGAATCTCAGACAACTCACGCCGTGTCCCAGAGCTTTGGTGAAACCTCCGCGTACATTATGGTCAGTGTGGAAGAACTGGTGGGTAAAATGTTGAGCCATGAAGGCAAACATCACATTGGTGCCCCCTGGATCCGCTCGGAATTTCCGCCTTCGGAAAAAACGCTCGGCCAACATTTTGGGATCGGGCAAATCGGGCTTGCCTGTGGCCGATAAAAAAAAATGATCTCAACATTTTGGGTTATCCTGGCGTCGTCCGAGAAATTAAAAGTCTTACCTTTGGTTCCCATGGGGAGAGGACAGTCGTGTGGGATCGGAGGTAGGATTCGGGTGTAGTACGAGGTGTTGTGGTAGGACTCCCAGCTGAGATAGCCATACTTGGTGTTGTAGGTCGGGGGGTTGGGAATGAGCTAACTGCGCACTTTGGAAAAGGAAACCAATCTAGAACTTTTAAGCTCATGGAGTCCATTCGTTAGCCTTAAGGAGTACTGATAACTTCTCACCAGTCAGCGTTAGTCTCATGAAGGTGTCCTGCAGGAACGAGTTGTTGACCACGTCCCAGAACCACCAGAAATGTGTCAGGAAGTAGTGGATCAGCTCCGGGCTGGGCTTGAGCATAAGCCGAGCCCAGGTCCAGAACTCCGCTAGGCGGCGAGAAGAAAACCAACACAAATTCTCCAGAAGTGTCTTTTTCCCTTTTTCCACTTCAGTAAATGTGATCATGTGCAGCGTCGATCCAACCCAATCTTCTGTTAGCCACTCTATCACCTCCCTGATGCAGCGGCTTATCTGGAGCTGGCTCGGACCTCCATTTTTTGGCTCAAGGCAAAACAATCGACAGATCATAACACGACAAACTGATAAGTCTCTCGTTTTTTGTCAACCAATAAGATCAGGGCATGTCGTACTATTTTGATGAAAGCCAATCGGCTTCTTTTCTGTTCATCCTTTCTGTCAAACAAATCAGCTCTTACTCGACATCACTTTGTCCTTCCGGGACAACCAATCATCTCCTTGCCTGCCCTTTCCTTTCATATCCTGACCTAAATTTCTTGTTTGAGCTTAGCCAGCGATCTCCTCGTCTGCAGATGTGTTCAAGAAACTCCAATCGGCTTCCTGCCTTTCCCTTCTCGACCAACCCATCAGCTCCTTTGCTAGCGTTTTTCACTTCTTCCAGTGGCCTTGTGTCCTTGCCTTCCCTTCTATAGAATTCCTGTCAGCTGATCATCCGCCCTTGTGACCCACCCGCTTGTTTCTTCCTTGAGTGATTCAGCGGCAACTGAAGCCATTTGAAGAGGGCAGTTGGACTTACGATGGGTGCAGTTTTTCCCGTAGAAGCCGGTGCGGGTGCAGTCGCACTCGTAGCTCTCGGTGCCCAATCGTACGCAAACTCCTGAGTTGTGACAAGGGTAGTAGCAGCAAGGGTTGACTGCAAAGAAGAAAGTCGAGTTGGCAGATACGGAGACGTACTGCGATCATCTGGGGGGGGGCAAAAGAGCTTTGACTGGATGGAAGATTCTCCCGTTGGCTTTCGATACACATGCATCTGGCATTTCATTTTTAGGGCCATTCAAATTTTTTCTTCAACAGGCGGTAATTGGACCCCTGAGGTGGATTTGTACGTTGTTCCTTCCCACAAATAATGGATGTAACGCAATGCAAGCGCAGGAAGTCCGTGTGCAGTCGAAACTTTCCCATCCTATCTATAATGAGCTTCCTGTTTTTTAACTTTCCACGATGGTGGTTTTAGCCAGATAATGACACGCTGCGGCTTTACGGCTTCCTTATTGGGGTGAACGAAAGAGGCTATAGATAAACATGCGCGCCATATTACGCAACGCTCCCTGCAAGGAGCAGGGAAGTGACTGGTCCATTGAAACATGGCATCAATCCACTTTATCATGTTATTTTTCACTTTTAATTTGCTTGAATACAGTTGATTACATTTCATCTGTATCTTTTCAACCCCCCCTACACACGCACATATGCATATATTCCATAAATACAAGGCTTGTATGAAGCTGTTTTTCGTTGTTTTTTTTTTCTTTTTTTTTTAAATTTGGTTAATTTTTGCAATTAGTTGATTTAATCTTTACTGAAGACCAAAAGGGTAAAAGATACTGTATAGTATAAATTCGACAATGACAGGTACAGCATGTAGAATTTAGTATCAGCTAGTTGTGGAGTAATGGAATGAAATGACTAAAGCTCAAAGTGCGTGCATTTTGAAGTCAGCGCACTACGGTGCCTCGGAGAGACCACACTTTGCAAACCTCTTCAGCAGAGGTACGAGAAAAATTGTACGACTTCTATTATTTGCTCAAGTGATGCAATAAGCGTGGTGGCAGTTGACACGTTAAGTTTGTCTCCGTCGGAGACCGCAGAAAAATGTCGGGGAAACATGGCAGTGTCATGTTCCGTATTAGACAGCAGGTGGCAGGCGTTCACTCTGCCGCCTGCACACCTGCTGCCCATTTGTCTGTGATTACACCTGCTTTATCTAGGCGCTCCGGCTGTCGACTCATTGCCGGAGTATTGCTTGCCGTGCCACTGCTATTGCCCATGCTCGTTAACCTTACTCGTATTCGATTATTGTTCGCTTACACTTTCTTCATCCCATCGGGATTATTTAAAGACGCATATTTGAGCTAGTACATTATCTTATCCTTTTCCTTGCCGTTCTTTGCAAGCGCTTTGTGTTTTCTCGTTACATTATTTTCCTGGTTCTTGTTTTGACCAGCGTTTTCTGTTGTCCTTTAAGACGGTATTTTTTCGTTTGTAATAAATATTATTTTTTGAGACGAAGGCCTTGTCAGTGTCTGCTGCTTCGGGGATCCACTTATTCTTGTTCGCTCTGTTTGCATACGAAGCAGTCCTTGTTTCCTGCCTTGTATGCAACGTGACAGGCAGACTCAATAATAATAATGGTAATAATAAAATAAAAGTCAAAAATCAACAATTAAATACAAAGGGAATTGGACTTTAAAAAAAAAGTTAAAAAAAAAAAAAGGAGGCTTAAAAATAATTTAAACAAAATTGTACTAATACTCGAATCACAAAATAAAATTAAAAAGGACAAATAAATTTATTTCAACATGAATTACAAAAAACTACCGGTAATTGAAAATAGGTGATGAGTAAAAATAATTTAAAAACATAAAATCAACTCATCATAAACCAATTAAAAACAAGAACCGAGTTAGAAACAAAAATGAAATTACAATAAAATACTAAAACAAAGGGCAGAGTGTCATGCAAAAAATAAATCTATCCATTTGGAATGGTTGTATTTTGTTCAAATGTCTTACCAGCACAGTTTGAGCTTTCCAGCAGCACCAAGATGATGAACAGCCATGTGGACAGCTTGCTGAACTCTAAGTAGGTTGACATTTTTTAGTATTGAGCAAAAGCATCAACATGCTTATAATTGTCTGTGTGTGTGTGTGTGTGTGTGTGTGTGTGTGTAAATAATAAAAGCCATACCTTTCATCGTTTTGAAAACAAATGTAGAAATGATGTTCAACACATACTGCTGGAGCTTCACACTATAAATAAATAAATAAAGGCAGTTATGATGTCTAATTGGTTCATTGTTGGAATGGATGTGGGTGGGAAGAAAACACTATCTACTTCCTGGACGACCCATGCCCCCCCCCCTAAAAAAAAACATTTATGACATAAAAAAAAAAAAAAAAAAATCATTGTCAAGTGATCTGTTGCTACCTACTTTCATTAATATTAGCTCTTTAAGGCCCCCTGCTGCACAGCGACCCAAATTGCAGTTTTGAAATGAAAGCTTGTGACGTCGCTTCCCTCTAAATTCCGACCGTGGATGAACGTTTCACGATACTAATCCGAATACTGTGTACACTCTATGCTGCAACTAAACTGAATACCGTAACTGAATCTCAACTATTTATCGATGGACAACTGTGTGACTGACGCTATACGGACTTTCTCTCACTGAGTCTACAAATGAATGAATGAATGAATGAATGAATGAATGGGGAACTACCTGACTGAAAAATTAACAGCTAACTCAAGATGAATAACTTCCAAAACAATACTCCTCACAATCTCTCTGGGAATAAAATCTCTCATTTTCTCTCTCTCTCAGCACCTCAACCTCGGAGTTGAGTCATCTTATCTTACCGTATTTTCCGCACTAAAAGACGCACCTAAAAGCCTTCCATTTTCTTAAAAGCTCACAGCGCGCCTTAAAATCCGATGCGCCTTGTGTATGGTCATTACGGTAATATTTCAGCCCCAAAATGGCTTCTTGCTCGAGACATGCTGGCTGACAACGCAGAGTTCAAACTTAAGGCGATCGGGTTACTCAGTTGAACACGGAAATAGAGCTGCGGCAAGAGGGTTCAACGTTAACGAGTCAATGTTATAACTTGCTGTTGGTTAAGTGAACTGTGTCGCTGCTTTATTAAATACGTTTTGCTGACATCTGATCGTTCTGCTGGTGTTTCCTTTAGCGTAGCTCCATCTAGTGGATGCATTGTAGATTGTGTCTTATAATGCGGTGCACCCAATGTATGAAAAGAAAAAAGACAAAATAGGCCATTCATTGAAGGTGCACCTCATAATCCAGTGTGCCTTTTAGTGTGGAAAATACGGTACCTCTTGCATGCTTAGCTGCACTTTCTGGTTCCAACTGCATGTCTTCCTTCTCCCTTGTCCGACCAAGTCCTCTGCTGCTTGTCTCACAACTTTGATTGAAATATTTCTTTAATGTGTTGTTACCCCCCCCCAAAAATTTTTTTGAGGGGAGAACCCCCTCACCTCTTCAGCTACTTGAACTGTTGACATGGCATAAGTTGTGTATGAATGCATCTATAATGACACACACACAAAAAAGTGTGACAATCAGGCTCTTTTCATACTCCACTATTGTCTCCCGTCAAAGGCCCAATCTGCATTTGCAGTCTCTTCACTTTTTCCACGTTTAAGTGCACGTTCAATGATGAGAGGAGCTATTCACGGGTTTTCGCACCCCCACACCCCCTACACTTGATTGGCACATGAAATTGACACTCTCTTTTCAATCCATCACTAATTGCATTCGTATTTTCTCTTTTAATCGATCAGATTTTTGGGTCTAATTGCGTGAAATTGTCTTCTGCCGGATTTAAATGCACTAACGACAGTGTTTTTTTTTTTTTTACAGTTATCAGTTTTAGGAGGAGTCGGAAATATAATGTGCAAAGTTAGCCACGCAGTCCTTGCGTTTCTTGGGAGTGGGAAGCCTCCGAGACACAAAACATGGTGAGTCGCTTTGCTTTTGACAGATTTGCATGCATGATATTTCACACGCAAGATAGAATTCATCTTTTGAACTGGAAGAAATCCTTGTGAAGCTAAAAAAAATACAAATAAAATTGTGTACTATGCCAAGTTCGTTTTAAAGTCTAAAAAATGTCCATTGAAGAACATGCTGAAAAGTATGTGAATAGCGAAAACCAAGATGAACAATACAGCCTTAAATCCCTACAATGAAAGTCAGTCTATGTTTAAAAGAGAAAATGTGCACATTCTCACAGCAATAAATTAATTAAACAAAAAAAAAAAAAAATCAAGCTCAACATGAATGCAAAATGGAAAATGTCTATCTCGTTATGAAATAATTTTAAATCCCCAAATCATGATTGCAAAAGGCTGAACATTTTTTTTTTAGAAATAATTGCATAATGAAGCCTAAATTAATCCATTGAATACTTGTGAGAAATCATTTAAAAGCCGAAACTCAAACGCTAAAGCAAAAAATATGCACAATCCTATAATCACATTTATTTGGGTTACATTTGTTTAAAATGTGTGGGGTAGAAAATTGCTATATTTCATGTAAAGTATATGGATCTTGGAAAGTTATGCAAAATATAAAGCGATATTTTATGGGAGGGTTTTGGGGGGGGGGTTATGGGACAAAAATGTCCTTGATTTTATAGATATAAATATAATAACGTTTTTCAGCAAGTAAATGGTATATATTTTTCATAATTTATTTTGGATTAAAAAATTTAGTCAGTAATTGATGGTGTATTTATATGTCACGTTTTTATGAAATATATTTTATATTTAGATATGTTACATGCTAGACATACAGTATAATTGATTCACTGTTTCTATATTCTTTTTTTACATTGTATTTGATTGTATTTTTTATCTATATCTGTACATACACATTTTAAATACAGACGTTTATAAAAATACATTAATTTTTTTCTATTTTTGTAGAGATTTGTAAAAATGTAAACATAATATACATACACAGTTTCTAAACTACATATTTTAGAAAATACTCAATACATTTCATATAAAAGAAATAAATATTAGATTTTATCCCATGATAGATATATTTTATAAATACCCAATTGAGGTCCTGAAATAATCGCTTTAAATAAATTAAACAAACAAAATTTTACAGTGTAAAAATAGACTACAGATCTTAAAAAAGGAATGGAATATATTACGTATTTATAATATATTTGCATATTTTTATAAAATGCATTTCATATTTACAGAAAATCAGCGAGAATCAATCAATGATTGCATGCAGCATTAAAATCTACAACACATCACTGTACCAAATATTTTAAAATAAGGGGTAACAATAAATGGAGTGTGTGCGCTGTACTGCTCACCTGAAACCTACGGACACCTCTGGCGCAGTCCAAGTCGGAGGTGAGGCAGGCGGCTCGGGTGCGCAGCCCTCCGAAGGCCGCCCGCCGCTGTCCTCCACCTGCGGCCGAGAAGCCTCAGCAGCGGCCGCAGCTGTGCGTCAACTGCGGCGTGGGCATCCACGACCGATACCTGCTCAAGGTCACCACGCACGCGCACACACACACACACACACACACACACACACACACACACACACGCACACA